TACGTTGACAGCATGTATCTGCACATCCCAGTCGGCAAGATTTTTAAAAAAAAATCAATGAAACTCTTGAACTGTTTGGAATGATGTTCCATATGGGTCCTTGAGAACAAATAATGCAGAAGGAAGTATTTGAGCATGGGGTGGGATTGCCTTTAAAAGAGGATTCTGATGTGTTTGTTTACGAGAATGTAGCAAGTAAGGCTGTATCTAGGTTTCTTTGCCTTCACCCAACCCTGCAGACATCAGTGAGACTCGCAAAATCAAAACTTCATTTCTTTTCTAGAAAGAGAAGGATAAGGGGTGACCAAAGAGGTCTAAAATTGTGCAAGTATTTGGTAGGGTAGACCGAAAGGAGCCGTTACCACTTGTAGGGGAAATCAAAACCAGAGGCTGTAAACATCATAGTCACTAATCAAATCTGAAAGGGAATTCAAGAGTAACATCTTGAAATAGAAAAAATAGAACCTGGTGCAACATGGAGGTATTTTTAAAAAATTCAATTACAGGATTCTGGCTCGGAACAGGAGTTGGCCATTCAGCCCATATAGCTATTCAATATGACAGTGGCTGACCATTTACCTCAAAGTTACTTTCCCACTCCCTCTCAGTGTCATTAGTTTCCAGAAACTTAATGATTTCTTTCATGAATCCACTCAATGATTGAGCTTTTACAGGCCTCTGGGGTAGAGAATTCCAGAGAGACCCCACAGAGTGAAAAAATTCCTCTTCATCTCAATTCCTCATCCTGAGATTGTATTCACTAGTTTTGGACTAACCAGCCTTTTGGGAGGAGTGGGGGGGTTGGGGGGGAACGGAAGGGATATTTTCCTGAAAACTACACCATCACGTACTATAAGACCTTTGTGAGTTTCAATTAGACTATGCCTTATTCTTTGAAACATTAGAGAATACAGAGCCACTCTCTTTAACGTTTCCTCGTGAAAGAATCCCTTGGGGTTAATCTGGTGAGCCTATGTTGCACTCCCTTGTAGGCAAGTATATTCATCCTGAGATAAGGGGCTGTACAAAATAGCCAGGTGAGCTCTCACCAAGGATCCGTACAAACTGCAGCAAGGCATCTTTCCTCCTATATAAATGAGGGAATGTATGTGTGGAGCCAGAAGACTTTACTAAAGCCTTTGACAAGGTCGCTCATGGTAGGCTGATCTAGAGGATTAAGTCATGAGATCCACGGTGAGTTGGTAAGCTGGATATAAAATTGGCTCATCATAGACGACAGAGGAGTGGAGAAATGTGTTTTTCTGATTGGATGTCTGTGACTAGTGGTGTTCCACAAGGGTCAGTGTTGAATGAAAATGTAGGTGGGCTGATTAGTAAGTTTGCAGATTACATGATAGTTGGTGGTGTTGTGGATAGTGAGGTAGGTTGTCAAAGGATACAGCAGGATACAGATCACTTAGAAAGTTGGGCGGAGAAATGGCAGATGTATCCCATGTATCTTGTGGCCATGTACTTCTAGACTTTCAAGGCCATAGGCTTGGAAGGTGCTATCAAGGGAGCCTTGGTGAGTTGTTGCAGTGTGTTTTGTTGATGGTACATACTGCTGCCACTTTGTGTTGGTGATGAAAGGAGTGAATGTTTGACGGAATGGACAGCATGTCGTTCCAGCAGGTTGCTTTGTACTGAATGGTGATGAGCTTCTTGATTGTTGTTAGAGATGCAACCATCCAGACCAAGTATTGAGTATTCCATCACACTCTGGACTTGTCCCTTGTAGGTGAAGGATAGTCATTGGAGAGACAGGAAGTCAGAAGGCGAGCCACTCACTGTAAAATTCCCAGCCTTTGATTTTTTTTTTGTAACCACATAAGGCCACTCTAGTTCAGTTTCTGGTTAATGGTGACCCCTAGGATGTTGATAATATGGGATTCAGTGAAGGTGATGCAATTGGATGAATTAAGAGAAATTAGATAAGTACATGAAAGAAATAGATAATGTTAATAGGGTGTGATAAAATAGAGTGGAAAGAGCCTTGTCTGGACTATACTGTGGATATGGAGCAGTTGGAGAAAGAGCATTGAAACAGGGCAATGTTCCAGGTAATTCTATTAGGTAATTATCTTGTTGATGGCTCTCTTATCTTGAAACAGTTAGTCCTATGCAGGTTATTTCTTCTTGTTGATGATGAGGAAACTGAAGTGTTTTAAAAATTATAGCTTAACTGTTAATTGTATCAGTATGAAGAAAATTTGATCCACTTGTCATTTTAATAGCAACTCATAGACACATTGCTAATAGGGTGCATATTCCCAATGAGATTGGAATTAATAAAATAATGGAGAAAGAAATCTAAAGGTTATGTATTGTTTGGGGGGTTCACAGCTGTAAATTGTCAGAGGTTGGCAGGACCTAGGAATTGGACTGTTAAGAGATATCAGGAAAGAATTTCAGTTCAGTGAAGGTGCAGGGAATAGGAGGAAAGGGTACATAGAATATGGCACTCACAGCTTAAAAGAAGCAAGGACATTCAAAGGAGCATTGTCTAAAGAAAGAAAGAATGAAAGAACTTGGTTTTATATTAGTGTCTTTCACAAATACAGAGCATGCCAAAGTACTTAATTGCCATTGAAGTATTTTTGCAGTGTAATCACTTCAGTGCAGGAAATGCAACAGCTGATCTCTCCACAGCAAGATCCCACAACCTGTGGTTTGATAATAGCCACATCATTTTGTTTTTAGTGATGCTAAATGAGAGATTACTGTAGTCCAGGACACCCAGCAAACTATAACATCATTAGAATCTTTCACATCCACCAAAGAAGGCAGCAGGGACTTCCTTTTGTTGTCTTATCTGAAAGAAGGAACCTCTGACAGTGCCACATTGGCAGTGGCATCCTTGGTTTAGATTAGATCTCTACAAAGGCAATTGAATCTAAAACCCTTTAGCTCAAGTAACCATACATGAGCTGCAGTGTGGCAGAATTAATGAAAAGCTTGGGCTGGTGCTAAAGTGCTGGCGCAAACACACCCAATAATGGGTTTGAGCATGCAGCAGAATCTTCGAAAGTGGCAAATGCCAGAATTGTCAATTCATCATCTGTAAAGTGCATGAACAGGTAGATAGCTTGAGGAGCAAATCTTTGTTGAAAACACACAGCCTTTACTCTTTTTATTTCCAAATCATGTATTGTCAGTTTTGCTTGTAATTGCACTCTGCTTATTATAGCTGTGGCAACCATCATGTGACAGTAGAGCTTGCTGTGTGTCTCCTCAGATGGTATCATAAAGACAGTTCACTGCACTTGTTCTGTCATTTCAATTTAATCGTCAATAGACATGGGGGGGAAAGGGGCTTTAGCAGAACTGAGGAATCAAAGGACAGGAAGCAGGGAATTATGCCAAAGCACACAAGTGCATTGCACAAGCTAATATTTAATGATGAAAACAGTTAGATTGCTGTTTTAGGCCAGGTCATCTTAATATCTTGAACATATGCTAAATCTTTACATTAAAAAGAATACACCTACCACTGAATGCCCTTTGGGTGTTCAAAGCATGTCATGCATAAAAGTTCTATTTTGTGAGCTTTGTATCTTGGTTGTGTTGACCAGGAACTGCTGGTGAAGTAAAATGTGGGGCAAAGAGAGATGACAGCTGCATTTAAGATAACAAGGTGTAGGGCTGGATGAACACAGCAGGCCAAGCAGCATCACAGGAGCAGGAAGGCTGACGTTTTGGGCCTAGACCCTTCTTCAGAAATCTAGGCCCGAAACGTCAGCTTTCCTGCTCCTCTGTTGCGGCTTGGCCTGCTGTGTTCATCCAGCTCTACACCTTGTTATCTCAGATTCTCCAGCATCTGCAGTTCCTACTTTCTCTGAAACAGTTGCATTTGTTGAGCTTTGTTGATGCTCTCAGGCTGTCTCAAAGTGTTTTACTTTAAAAGAGGTATTTTTGAGGTGTAGTTATTGTTATAATGCAGAAACTGCAGTGGCTAATTTGCAAACAGGGAAATTCCACAAACAGTAGTGTGATAATTACCAGATAATACATCTTGAATGATGCTGATTAGGTAAAAATAATGCCCAGGACATCAGGAAAACCACTGCAGAAATTTCATGTGATCTTTTATGTTCACCCAAGACAGAATCTTTGAAAGTGGCCTTTGGTTAGCTTCACAACTGAAAGACAGTGTAGTCCTCCTTTGGTATTGGCAGTGGGAATGCCAGTGAAATGTTTACATTCCAGTCTATGAAACGGTGACCTACCAGTTGAGAGATAAGTTTACTACAGAGTGAGTTATTACTGATGCCTGTGGAGGTTGAGTGGGTTGTTAAGAAAAAGAGTACAGAAGTAGGGCTTTAAACTCAGAATTTTTCTCACTATCCTTTGGGACCTTAAACTTGTGTTAAAGTTGTGTTACCAATTTTCCAGCATTATCTTGGAGTCTCCTGAAATTAATGCATAGTCTCCTCAACATTGCTTCCAACAAGCTGGGACCAAAACAGAAGCCCCCATCCCAACTCCCTACCTACACTCAACTTTACTGGATCCATCCCCACCTCCTTGACCTGTCCGTTTTCTCTCCACCTATCTGCTCCTCTATCCACCATCCATCATCGCCTCCCCTCTCTCTATTTATTTCAGAATCCCCTTCCCCTCCCCCATTTATGAAGAAGGGTCCAAATCCGAAATGTCAGCTTTCCTGCTCCTCTGATACTGCCTGGCCTGCTGTGTTCATCCAGCTTCACACCTTGTTATTTCAGAAGCAATTGGATCTTTGTACAACAGGTCAAATGGGCTCTCGCATGCTTCAAATTCTATAATTTTGTAGAAATAATTGCTTAGTGAAGTCAAAGCATAATCTCCTTTATTCAATGTAGAATAAAAATTGTGGGATGGATGCCAATATTCTTGTGTCAAATAGGATGTTTGAGTTAGTTGCATCATTAGGCTGTTCTGCTATTGGACCTGCATTTTTGTACACTGTAGGAGCCATTTATTTTTGTACAAAAATCAAAGACTGTTTCCTTTTTTTGCAGTTTTTAGCACAGTTAACTCAGTGCAAGTGGCGAGGTTCAAGAGGAATGATCTGGAACTCAAGTGATTGGCGGTTACTGTGACAACAGCTCAAAGGATAACAACTGTGACAAGTAAGACATAATTACAGGATTTATTTACAGATTGTATATGTATCCATATTAAGCTAATTTGAGATAACTGAATTGAAGGGGAAGAAGCTCCTGGACTATAAAGGGGAGGAAGTTTTACTGTAGCTATACCAAACCCAACCGAGTTCACCTGTACCTGGAGTATTATGTCTGTGGGTACTGAATATTTAGAAAGGATATGTTGGCCTCAGAGGGAATGCACTGCATATTCACTGGAATATTACCTGCGCCCCAAAGGGTTAACCTATGAAGAGAAATTACATAAACTAGGTTTATAATGCTTGAAATATAAAAGGTTAGGGTTGATTTGATTGAGAACTTTAGGGTAGCTAACAGTACACCTGTATTTAAGAAGACACAACATATCCAGGAAATGTAGACTAATCAGCTTAACACCAATGTTCGGAATCAAAACACAATTTCAGTACTTGTGGATGACACTAAAATTGGGTAGGTGGGGATTAGTCGATACTGAGGAAAATACCAACAAGTTACAAGAAAGGATTAATGAATGTGTAGAATGGACACGTCACTGGCAAATTAATTTCAACATAGTTTTCAATGAGGTATAACGTTTTGGAAAGGGAGGTAACAAAATAGTTAGAAAATAAGAATGCAAATTTGTAATGTGGGCAGAGCAGTGGCAAATGGAATTCAGTCTGGAGGGGGAGTGAGGTAACGCACTTGGGGAGGGCAAACAAATCAAGGGATTACACTATTAACAATAGGACCCCAGGAAGTACTGAAGATCAGAGGGACTTGGGTATGCACATCCAAGATTTCTAAAGGTAATAGGGCTGATAGATGTGATGTTTCAGGAAGCATATTGGATTCTTTACTACACAAGGCATAGAATACGAGAGCAAGAGCGTTATGCTGCAATTGTATAAAATGCTGATTAGATCATAACTGCATGTAGTTCTGGTCACCATGTTATAAGAATAACGTGACTGTACTAGAGAGAGCACCGAGGAGATTTTTCCAGGATACTATCTGGGCTGGAATGAATGAGTTATGAGGAAAGATCAAGTGGACAGGGCTTGTTTTCCTTGGAGCCATGAAGATTGATAAGGGACCTTATTGAGGTGTATTAGCTGTTGAGGGGCATTATTAGTGTGAAGAGGTATAGATTAAAGGTAGGGGAACGAGGCTTAAAAAAGAGTTGAGGAGACATTTTCTCAGCCAAAGGGTGGTGGGAGTCTGGAAAACATTGCCTAAAAGGGTGGTTAAAAATGCTTGTGATATTTAAGAAAATGTATATATTCACTTTATTTGCCATTGTGTCCATGACCACGGGCAAGAGCTGAAAAATGGGATTAATGTAGAGAGATCTAGATGACCGTTGTGGACAAGATAGGCCAGATAGGCATTTCCAGCATGGAATGAGGCTATGAGTCCATGAGTAGAGGAGCCAAGGGATCTGGAAACATAACCACTAGAAGCAGTATCACAGATTAATAAGGTCATAAAATAAAACAAGCATTGGAGTTATTTTGGGAGGGAGAAAATTTACAAGTCCAGAAGCTATGCTAGGTTTTGATTGAACTTTGGTTAGACCACACTTTAAATACACTGTATGTTACAGTAAGATAAGATACATTACTGATGAGGCGCAGTCTGACTGAATGTCAGAGCACATTTGAGGAACTGAAAGGCCTACTGCTGTCACTATCACTTGTTCCTATTTTGCCATCCTCATGCCGAGTAGTTCTGAAATCAACCAAAATATCACTACAATCAGCTCTGTCAATGCCAGATTTTCAGACATACACTGGAAATTGAACATAAGTCCTCCTGGGCTTGAGCCTAAAGTGGAGCCAGTATTTCTTTTTAAATTTCATTTTTAAATTCAACTTTCGCATGTTCAATTTCTGGCAGTCAGTTGCAAACATCTAAAGGGAAAACCAAGAGCTTGCTTTCCAATTGCAGATGGGGTTCACAGAATCTCAGAATTGTAACAGGGCAGAAGGAAACTATTTGTCCTATTGAGCCTGCACCAGCTCACAGCTGCTTCAATGCTGCCTCACAACGCCAGGGACCCAGGTTCGACTCCACCCTCAGGCAACTGTCTGTGTGGGTTTCCTCTGGGTGCTCTGGTTTCCTCCCACAGTCCAAAGATGTGCAGGTTAGGTGTGTTGGCCATGCTAAATTGCTAATCATGTCCAGAGATGTGTAGTCGGGTTAGCCAATGGAAATGCAAGTTCACAGGGATAGGGTAGGGGGTGGGTCTGAGTGGGATGCACTTCGGAGGGTCGGCTTGGACTCAATGGGCTGAATGGCCTGCTTCCAAACTGTAGGAATTCTATGATTCTATGAGTGACAAAGATACAACATGGTGGCGGGACCTGGGAATTATTTGGGCGTTGGGTTTCAGGCCCAAAATTAAATATCAAACCCCCTACCCTATCCCTGTGAACTTGCATTTCCATTGGCTGACCCGACTACATATCTCTGGACATGATTAGCAATTTAGCATGGCCAACACACCTAACCTGCACGTCTTTGGACTGTGGGAGGAAACCAGAGCACCCAGAGGAACACCCAGTGGTGTTTATATGAGGAACACTGGATGTTAGTGAAATATTGGCAGCTCATGACAGTTGCCTGAAGTTGTTTCCCGTAATTGAAAAGGTGACCAAAAATTGAGAAATGAAACAATGTTAACAGGGCACCCAGCAAGTAAATTATTCCTGAGTAAGTAAATTATTCCTTTTTCACAGCATCAAATGTAATGGAATGGACAAAGTGAAGGTGAGCAGAGCTAGGTGATGTTCGTTGAATCAGGGAATGAGGACCATTATTGGCCTCAGCCCTGAGGGATAGGATAAAGGAAGGTGGTCTGGAATGATGACATCTATGGATACGGAGTCTGAGTGGGAGCACAGGCCATTGATCAGCTCCTGGATGGCTTCCTGGGCTGGATGGTTAAGAGTGAAATTTTCAGACTCCCAAAAGTATATGGGAATTGGGAAGGGACTGTCTTCACTCCTGGACTGGTCTGCTACCTTGGGACGGGGTCATGTGACTGCTTTCCCTGAGGTTTCAGATCACAAATAGTGATTCCCACTGGAAACTCGATCTCACACTCCGTCCTAACCTCACCATCCTGAACTGCCTTATGTTGTGTTCTATGGAGGAGGAGAACCAGATGTTGCTGGGCCTCATGGTTGAACAGACATTGGTCCAGACACAAACAGTATGTGAAACAGATTTGTGTGACACACGTTGCACAGCAACTAGGCAACAGGCTTGTGAAGTAGAGATAACAAGGTGTAGAGCTGGATGAACACAGCAGGCCAAGCAGCATCAGAGGAGCAGGAAAGCTGACGTTTCAGGCCTAGACACTTCTTGAAGTAGAAGTTGTGTCTCAGTTAAGAAATGGCGAATATAAAGGCTGGATCTGGGAGGGGACTTCAGAAAAAATAAGGTCACTGCCATTATTTCTGTTGTTATTTCAAAGAATTGATTGACCAGAACTGGTGACCTGTGCACAGTGTCCAGGGTTATGAAAGAGGGTTTGAAAAAGGTAAAACTGTTTGAACCAAGCCAGGATGACTGCCTCTGAGTGGAGTTGTTAAAGCTCTACAGAATTGGCCCATGCCTGTTGAGCTCTGCTGTGTATGGAGGTGCTGTCAGATGGCAATTGGTGGCTTAATCCTTGGAAACAAGGAGGTCAAACTGTACCCCTGGAAGTTTACTGCTTTGAGGACTTTGTGGCTGCAATTGGTGCTCTATATTCTGGATGCACTGCCTTGGAAATATGTGACATCTAACCTGTAAATTCACGTTTGATAATTAAGGTGGAGATTGTAAAAAATGAAATCTTGTCTGTTGACCTTCTCGTTGGCATCGTTTAGTAAATTCGGTTTTTTGTTTGTAGGTTTACATGGGGATTATAAGATGTCGATCCTTGTTTCTCATCACTATTACATGACTCATGTTGGCAAGTTGGCAAAAAAATGGCTCCTGTTGGTGAATATAGAAATTAGGTAACAGTGACATTGGCTGTACCTCCACGTTTGAAAAATTGCCAATACTCATAACCCTGGTTCATCTGCTCAAGTGGGCTCTGACATGAATGAAGGACTACAGTCTTTACTCTCTACAATTATTTACCTCAACAACTCGTTGTTGTAGCAAGTTCCACATCGTAACCATTCCCTTGGGCAAAGAAGTTTTCCTGAATTTTTTTCAAGATTTTTCAGGGTTTATATTACAATTATGGCCCCTTGCTTTGGGGCTCCCTCATGAGTGGAAACATCTTCTTTATACTTTTCCAATCAAACATTCACATAATCTTAAAAAAGCCTTGATGGGTCTCCCTCAGCCTTTTCTGATAGGTTTAACTGCTTAGTTCTGTTAGGGTTCTAAGAAAAATACAGGGATAGTAGAATGGACTGAATATTTCTCTCACAGGCACACTGGACTGAATGGCCTCCTTCTGAGCTGTAAGATTCTGTGAGCACCACAACAAGACTGCACCTGCAGTTCGAACATTAAGCGATAAGCCCATTTTGATTTTGGTACACAACACCATGGCAGAGAGTAGATATTCTAATGATCAGATTAAGTCATGCCAAGCCAAGTGTCCATTGATGAACTGTTCTCTGAATTTTGGTCTCAACAACTGTCTTGTGCATTTGTAGTTCTCTGTAACTACTGTCTTAAAAAAAAATCTCTCCTGAGCCATGAAACCCAGTGCTGACTTAATGTCATGATAAGTTTAAGACTGAACAATCCTGGAAGTGGAACTGCTTTGCAAAGTCTTAACATAGTTGGGAGTGAGCATTTTGGGAGATTTGCCTCTCTGCGCAAGTCTCCACATGTCTCTACATTTTGTGCTGCATCTTTCAGTCCTGAAATCACCAGTTCATCATTTCTGCAGAAAACAAATTAGTTACATGAAAGTCAAAGTAACTTGACTAAAAAAAGCACACCAACAGATGTGTCACTTTGACTCTGTGGTAGCTCTCAACCAGAAG